AAAGAAAAGAAAAGAAAAGAAAAGAAAAGAAAGGGGGTGACTTCCTAGATGCCTCTGACCTTGGAGAAGAACTTCCATCCACAAATTGACTTCATTCTTCATCCCCATGTCTGGGACATGCCACATGGCTCACCAGAGCTGGGATTTACGTGTCTGGATTTCAGTCTCATCAGCGTAGGAAGGTAAGGGGCCACCACTGGGACTGCTTACAGTGGCCACAGAGTGTCACTACAGACTAAGGCAAGAAAGACATTTGAAAGAGAAGACTGAGCAAGTCCTTCCACAATCTCTCCGGCCTCAGCTGCGATTAAATTTGGTGTAAGGAACAGTGACCGCACAGGACCAAGTCCAGCCTCCCTCATGTCACACGCCAGGAGAGGGCTCCCCATCCTCAACAGGTAGCTCTCCTCCTGAGTGTTGGATGCAGAAGGGCAGGAAGAAGTGTGAGGGGAATCTCCTCACAGAAGCAAGCTAAGACAAGCTGACAACGCTGAGGAACCACAGCCTGAGTGTCAGTGAGGCTACGACGCACTTTCCTCCACAAGGGCCAAAGGGACCCAGGGCTGTGTAACGGAAGAGGAGGCATAGGTGCTTTGCCTCCAAGACGGGAATGCTAAAAACAGGCCCAGGGCAGAGGCTGGGAAGAAGGCCTGAGGGCAATGTTCGGATCAAGAGCCCATCGCTCCACGAGGGTCATACCACCTGGCTTGCACTCAGCTTCCACCCGCACCTCAGCCCTGGACTGTGAGCCTCAGGCAGTCCTGTGCTTTGTAACCGGCGGTCTGTGCCCTGCTGCAGCAGCATTGGAGCCCAGACACCAGCCTTGTCGGGTGTAGACAATCGATGGTGAAAGGCAAGTGAACCGCGCATGTCTAAAGTAAACCTGTCGATAGAAGATTGTTTCAAGGTCTGTTGCTTTTGTTTATGTTGCATTTGTTTAACTCCGTGAAGCTGTGTGACTGTGCCTGCCTAAAACTCCTGATGGTCTAATAAAGAGCTGAACGGCCAATAGTGAGGCAGGAGAAAGGATAGGTGGGGCTGGCAGGCAGAAAGAATATATAGAAGGAGAAATCTGAGAAGAGAGGATTTGAAAAGAAGCAGCCATAGAGAAGAAGGAAGGCACCAGGGGCCAGCCACCCAGCTACACAGCCAGCAATGGAGTAAGAGTAAGATTTACAGAAGTAAGAGAATGGGGAAAGCCCGGAGGCAAAAGGTAAATGGGATAATTCAAGTTAAGAAGAGCCAGCTAGAAACTAAGCCAAGCTAAGGCAGGACATTCATAAGTAATAATAAGCCTCCGTGTGTGAATTTATTTGGGAGCTAGGTGGTGGGCCGCCCCAAAAAAAGAACAACAACAAACAACATTTTGTTCCAATGTGGGGCTTGAATATCCATCTAGAGCCTGAGAAAGCTGAACAATAACAAAAGAGGGATAAGGCTCCTTTAAGAGTTGTGGCCGGGCTGGAAAGATAGCTCAGAGGTTAAGAGCACTGGCTGTTCTTCCAGAGGTCTGGAGTTCAATTCCCAGCAACCACATGGTGGCTCACAACCCTCTGTAATGAGATCTGGTGCCCTCTTCTGGCCTGCAGGCATACATGGTGTATGGATAATAAATAAATCTAAAAAAACAACACCAAAAAAAAAAAAA